TTGAACCAGATTTGGCTCCGCGGACCATGTAAGTGGTGTTTGCGGCCTTTAACCATAGATCCCCTCTGACTCCAAGGCATGATTGCTCCCGAGAATCTCTCCAAATCATTTTGCGAACTAATTGCCCATAAAAGATATTCACAATTGGCAGACCTGATTTAGGGCTTTTAGTAGTGCATTACAAAACGTAGTAGATCAAACAGACACTGAAGAAAAGCAGTAATCAAGTTTGCGAACCGATTCTGAAGAGGCAGAGGCGGGAACCTGCATCAAGTCCATTGTCCTAGAGTTGCTGTCGACCACCGTGAGATCCGGCTCAAACTAAACGAAGAGGTTATTTCTGGGAACCTGGCTTTTCATATACTCGCGGGACAGTGGTGGCCAAACGCCTGAAATCGCCAAGCCATTTGCACGTTCCCAGTGCCAAATCCGGTCGGGGCAGAGCGAGCCCTCATCTCCTCATTGATCCTTCGGATGTATCAGACTTTTCCGGAATGACTAATGCATCGAGCTCAACAGCGATTGAAAAAAGGAAAAAAATTAATGAAAACGAAAAATAATTGCCTACGTCAAATCGGACAAATGGGAAATATTGAGGGGGTCGGAAGCAAAGAGGTAACTCAAATCCCTTTTCGCACGTGCTCTTAGACGGAAGCTGAGCAAAAAAAATAGTGATCTTTACATACTCCTAGGCCAAAGACAGTTGATGTCGCCACAATCAGTCCGGGCGATGCCACAAGGCATGGAAAGGCCTGTGCGCGGCGGTCTCTACCACTGCTTGTTTTTTTCCTGAATAGATCTGCAGAAAACGTAACAGCGAGCGAGCCCATTCCACATATCCTAGCACCGCCCCGAATGGTTACGACGATATCAGCTAAACGCATTCGATGATCTCTAGCAAGGCGGTCGAAGACATTGGCCGTAGTTCGCTGCGGACGGTTGGGCGTGTCAGGCGGGATGAGTATGGCGCGGTGCCGAACCCGTTCTCCAGCAGTTGAGCGAGCAACTATTGTAAATGTAGATTAAAAATGCAAATAAATGTCAATGAATTGTAGGCCTTCATAAATTTCGCACTTCAACGCGATTGTGGCTCCAAAGCCGTAAAAAGTCTTTGGATTATTGAGAAGGACGCTTAGCCTTTTTTAGTCTCATGCTCGGTGGGAATGTGCGGCTTTCGAGGAAGATTTCACAAGCAGTATACAGTGAAGTTCGCTGCAGACGGTTGAGCGTGTCAGGCGGGATGAGTATGGCGCGGTGCCGAACCCGTTCTCCAGCAGTTGAGCGAGCAAATGATATGACTGTATCATGGCGCTCGTATGTACTACTCGTTTTCTACCACTTTTTGTCGCACGCGCGCTTCAACAAGAAGGCAGAGAACGGCTTTGACGGGGTGACACACTCATACTGCCTGACACGCCCAACCGTCCGCAGCGAACTGGAGTGTAGCGTCATTAAGAGCTGCCAAGTCTTCAGTTCCCAATTTTTGTCTATTGGAAACCTTGTTTTCATAATTTCTTTCGTTTTTACAGCAATGATCAGTCCACTTACTACCTGTGAAGTACCGACGTCATTCGGATCGAAGATACCTCCGTCAGCATGAGCTCGGGCAAGTGGCCACAGGCGATTTCCCTTTCGCCTTCTGAAATATGCAGCCAATTGAGAGTGCCTTGGCAAATTAGGCAGATAAGAATCCGAAGAAAATGTAATATGAGAGGCACGCTGCCTTTTGCCATGTCAACGCTGTCGCAAGACCAGCCATGCATTTGACCATGGCCAGACGCGCTGGTAGCTTGCACTCTCTCAATTTTGGTTGTTCTCTACCGATGAGTGCGCGATTCGCTTCGGGACCCTATAGGCTCACCTGCTGCACGTTGAGAATAGTGAGGGCTTAGTATCAAGACGTACTCGGGTACCATTAAACTGTTCGGGTACCACTACGTGCACTTTCAAGCAGAGAAAGTGGCACGCAGCTGCGGCCCCATTCGCCTCGCACATGGCAACGACGGAAGTAAGGTACATTTCTTTTTCGAAAAGAAAATGT